TATCAAACCAGATTGAATGTCTGCTTTGACCACAGTCTGTGTTGGTCAGTGAAAATACAGCAGATCGGACATCTGGTGCTGAACACAGCTCTTCAACAAACCCTTAATCAAGCCACATACGTATCCTAGAACTGTATTCGTGACGTTCTTTCATCAAGTCATAATCTCTAATGGCTTGAAGAGGCTGATGCTTTTGGGTCATTCGTTTTAGTGAGAAACAACATCAAAAACACGAGCAAGTTTTAGAGTTCTGTTTTGTGGTTTCAGTTGATTTGTCTCACTCCCATCCTGTTTGATGTAATTACATAAATTGGTTTGATATCAGAGTTTGATAAGCTAACTCTCAATCCCTCATGTCATGAAAATCACATGTGATGTCCCTAAACACATCCTTGGCCAACATGTGCTGCAGTAATTTTAAAAACCTTTGTTGTCAAGCCTCATCAATGATGTCAACTCACTGTTGAGCTTGAGCTCTGATTGCAAAATGTTCTGGGTTCAGATCTTAGGCTGGTGTCATTTTTCCCTTTTAATAAAACTTGTGAATTGGCAGCTCTGTATGTGTGGATCAGGAGTTTGGGAGCTTGTTAAATTTTATTTTAGGCTTGATGAATGTGACCTGAACATCCACATCCCACTGTGAATATCTTGTTTTCAAGGGCAGACAAATAGCAGTATAAGCAGGTGTGAAGTAAAACAATGTGGTGTTAAGAGCAATAATTATGACAAATTAGTAAGGTGTTTGAATGTAATAATGTTCATATTATGAAAACAGTTGAGACCTTGGTTGCATTTATATTTAGTGAGAACAAAGAGCTACACTACAGCTCAAAAGTTTGGGGTCAATAAGAGATTGACTGATTGCTTGATTTATTTTTTAAAGAAGTGAATAATTTTATTCAGTAGGCAAACATTTAATTGATTAAAATTGACAGTAAAGACAATTATAATGTTAGGAAAGATAAATGTTTTTTTTTTTATTATTATTTCAAATAAATGTTGTTCTTTTGAAATTTCTTAACATCAAAGAATCCTGAAAAATATTATCACTGTTTCCACAAAAATATCAATCCGCACAATTGTTTTAAACATTGATAAAAATAATAGGCTAAATGTTTCTTGAGAAGCAAATCAGCATATTAGAATGATTTCTGAAGGATCAACACTGAAGACTGGAGTAATGATGCTGAAAATTCAGCTTTGCGTGACAGGAATAAAGTACTTTTTAAAATATATGAAACGAGAAAACAGTTATTTTAAACTCGATCAATAAAAACAGTAAAATCAGTAAAAACAGAAATATTAATAAAGTAATTACAGGCTTGTAAACATAAGAGACTTGACATACCTGCTATCTGAGTTGTGTTTGATTTCTTCATAGTGTGTATCTTGTTAAGAAAAGTTCACTGAACATCCAAGACCACTCCAAGATGCCCAATACTTTGTAAACATGCCCCATTTTTGTTTTCTTGCAGCCTTGGTTCTGCTTATCCTGATAGAGGAGGGTTTCGCACTGGCACAGAAAACTCAAGGTTGGTTTGAAGTGGAAACTCACATGCAAAGCCACGTGTTTAAATTTGAGTGTGAGAGAGATTGAAACAGAACAAGAAATTGAAATGAACATTTAATGAGTCTTTCCCATCTGTTTTGCTTTAATAGCCTTTACCTTTAATGTAGATCATCTTATGTGTGTGTATCCTGTTAGCTTTGCCTCAGAATGTGGCTGTTGAGGATAAGAAACCGGCTCACTGCGGAACTTTGATCCAGACGGCAAATGGAGGATCATTCAGTTCTCCAAACTACCCCAACACTTACCCACCAAACAAGGAGTGTGTGTACATCCTGGAGGGTATGAGTCTCACTTCCACAAGCTTCCACAGATGCCTGTCCTATTTGTTGCTTTGGTCAAATATGCACTGCATACATAACCATTCAAAAGTTTGGGGTTCTTGCTGAATTAAAGGATTAGTTCACTTGCAGAATAAAAAATTCCTGATTTTCTCACACCCATGTCATCAAAGAGATTAAGGTTTTTGAGGAAAACATTCCAGGATTTTTCTCCATGTAATGGACTTCAGTGGGACCCAAGAGGTTGAAGGTCCAAATTGAAGTTTCAATGCAGCTTCAAAGGGCTCTACACGATCCCAGCCGAGGAATAAGGGTCTTACCTAATGAAACAATCTGCCATTAAAAAAAAAATGTATATACTTTTTAACCACAAATGCTCTTCTTGCACTAGCTCTACTTCCCGCATTATGTAGTCACTTTGGAAAGATCATGTGTGACGTAGGCGGAAGTATCGACCCAGTGTTTACAAAGCAAGGTGCAAAGAAAGTCAAATGCCCTTTACAAACGATGTCAGACGATTTTGAAGTTGGAGGAGAAAATGAGATGGAGTTTTTCCGCCCTACAGTACCTTTTTGAACCGAAGTACACAGACGAAGAACTAACCACGTGTGACCTTTCCAACATGATTATGTGCATCTCTGAGCCAGTGCAAGACAAGCATTTGTAGTTAAAAAGTAGTGTGTTTTTTTTTTTTTTTTTAGAAAATGACAGATCGTTTCGCTAGATAAGACCCTTATTCTTTGGCTGGGATCATAAAGAGCCCTTTGAAGCTGCATTAAAACTGCAGTTTGGACCTTCAGCCCGTTGTGTACCATTGACTACATGGAGAAATAGAATCCTGGACTGTTTTACTCAAAAACCCTAATTTCTTTTCGACTGAAGAAAGAAAGACATGAACATCTTGGATGACATGGGTCTGAGTAAATTATCAGGGAAATTTTTATTCTGGAAGTGAACTAATCCTTTAAAGGTGCCATAGAATGAATGCATTGATACAATATTTTAAATTGTTCTCTGAGGTCCCCAGAGTGTGTATGTGAAGTTTTATCTCAAAATACCCCACAGATAATTTTTTATAGCTTGTTGAAATTGCCACTTTTAGGGTATGAGCCAAAACGCGCTGTTTTTTTGTGTTTGTCACCTTTAAATGAAAATGAGCTGGTGCTCCCGCCTCCCTTTTCAGAAGAGTGCGGAGCTTCAAGAGCTCATGCTTGCTCGCGGCATAGGATGCATTAAATTGATCAATAGTGACAAAAAAATACATTTATCATGTAAGATTTCAATTACAAACACCGGTAAATGCTGTGTTTTCAACTTTATATTCATCAAAGAATCATGAAAAAAGTATGAGTTTCCACAAAAATATTAAGCAGCACAACTGTTTTCAACATTGATAAGAAATGTTTCTTGAGCAGCAAATCAGCATATCTTGTGACACTGAAGCCTTGAGTAATGATGCTGAAAATTCAGCTTTGCATCACAGGAATAAATTGCATTTGAAAATATATTCAAATAGAAAACCATATCATATTTCACAATATTACTGTTTTTACTGTATTTTATTTATCAAATAAATGCAGCCCTGGTAAACATAAGATACTTTTTCTCGCAAAAACCTCTTACCAACCCCAAACGTTTGAACAGTGGTGTATATTTCTCAGTCGCAACAGTTATTCATGTTGTAACCTCTGTTTCTCGTCCACTTCAGCCCATCCACGGAAGAGAATCCAGCTCATCTTCGATGACATCTACTACATCGAGCCGTCCTTTGAGTGCCGCTTTGATAATATTGAAATCCGTGATGGGCCGTTTGTTTTCTCTCCGTTGATTAATCGGTTCTGCGGGGCAAAGAGTCCAGGAATTGTCACCTCTTCCGGACGCTTCATGTGGATCAGGTTTACCAGCGACGAGGAGCTGGAGGGACTGGGCTTCAGGGTGGAGTATTCATATACTGCAGGTAAATGCATCTTGCAGATAGATCTTCATGCATTTAGATCTTAGAATCTTTTACTTGAATGCCGTTTTTCTCAGTTCCCTTTGTGTTAGTTTTATTGCATTTGATTTTTTTAATCAAAAACCTTTCTTGAGTCCAGATCCTGACTTTCATCTCCATATTGGGGGACTCTTGAATCCCATTCCAGGTAAACAGAAAATACATATGTATGTAGTATGGGGCGGGTGGTGGTTATTTCAGGGTGTTTGTCTACTTATTGCTTTGGATAAAAGCTTCTGCACTGACTACTTATGTAACTAGCATTTTTAAAGAATCATACATTTTATGGTTTTACATTTGATCAACTTTTGTGCTCAAAAATTGAAAACTGTTAGTAGGTGATTGAAAAGGTATACTGGTCTATGGCAAATATGTTTTAGATTTCTACTAACCTACTATCTAAACCTGATGTAGCAGCACATCCTTCAAAAAGGATGTTTTTGAAGGATTTTTTTTTTTTAAGAAAGCCGTTTAAGTACTTGAGATTTGATTTTTCAAAATGTTTTGCTATCTATCGGAATGATATTTCACACACCCTCTTGTTCAGTTGCTATGGTTACGGCACCCAACAAATATAAATGTAAATTCCATATTTAGTGCATCAGTTATGTAAACTCCTGAATATTTCAGTGCCCTAGAATTTATTAGTATTACTTTTCCCAGCTGCTGTCTGCAGACTCTCAGGTCTCTTCTCAAGTACTTGAAAGATATCAAGTTATAATATTTGAATTCTGTAATGTTAATTTAATTGTCTTTGTTGTCTCCTCCCGTCAGACTGTCAGTTTGAAATGTCTGGATCAGATGGTATAATCAGATCTAGTCAAGTTGAGGAGGAAAACAAGGTGAAATTAGGGGAAGCACTGGACTGTATTTGGACCATACGAGCTCCACCGATGTCTAAGGTTAGTAATGCAGCTATGATGAAACATCTGCTTCTCTCACAGGTTTGTAACGGATCATGTACAGTTACTGATGTCGAGTCTTGGAATGAAGTTGTGTAAGATACAGGATAACATACAGCCAGCTGGTTATTATCATAAAATAAACCCCTCTATCAAAGTGCTCAATGAATATGCACAACATGACTGGCTTTTGCATTAAATATTTCAATTGAGTACACTTTAATTATTCTTAATTCATTTGAATATTTATTCATTTTAATTAATGTCTTTTCCCCATTATTATCCATGCTTTTAGAGCAGCGATTTAAAGCGTGATTATTTTGATAAATATTCACAGTCATCTACTACAATTACTTATTGACTTTGGAACATCATGCATTTATTGAACATTTTTTAAAGAACTTGTCTTTTTAACAGAGGATTTTCTTGAACTTTAAACATAGTCAACTGAAAAACAAATCGAATAAAAATTAGATAATTAAATAAAAGAAATATATCATGCATATAAAAAAA